TCTGCCCACCCTGCTGCAGTCCCCTCCTTTCCTGCCTGGCAGACGGGCAGCCCTGCGCTGAGGGACACTCACTGCCCCAGGGACAGCGGGGGGAGCAGGCCCTGCCGCCCGCACCGTAGGGAACGCCCCAGCCCTGGGGACGCCCGCACCGTAGGGAACGCCCCAGCCCTGGGGACGCCCGCACCGTAGGGAACGCCCCAGCCCTGGGGACGCCCGCACCGTAGGGAACGCCCCAGCCCTGGGGACGCCCGCACCGTAGGGAACGCCCCAGCCCTGGGGACGCCCGCACCGTAGGGAACGCCCCAGCCCTGGGGACGCCCGCACCGTAGGGAACGCCCCAGCCCTGGGGACGCCCGCACCGTAGGGAACGCCCCAGCCCTGGGGACGCCCGCACCGTAGGGAACGCCCCAGCCCTGGGGACGCCCGCACCGTAGGGAACGCCCCAGCCCTGGGGACGCCCGCACCGTAGGGAACGCCCCAGCCCTGGGGACGCCCGCACCGTAGGGAACGCCCCAGCCCTGGGGACGCCCGCACCGTAGGGAACGCCCCAGCCCTAGGGACGCCCGCACCGGAGGGAACGCCCCAGCCCTAGGGACGCCCGCACCGGAGGGAACGCCCCAGCCCTAGGGACGCCCGCACCGGAGGGAACGCCCCAGCCCTAGGGACGCCCGCACCGGAGGGAACGCCCCAGCCCTAGGGACGCCCGCACCGGAGGGAACGCCCCAGCCCTAGGGACGCCCGCACCGGAGGGAACGCCCCAGCCCTAGGGACGCCCGCACCGGAGGGAACGCCCCAGCCCTAGGGACGCCCGCACCGGAGGGAACGCCCCAGCCCTAGGGACGCCCGCACCGGAGGGAACGCCCCAGCCCTAGGGACGCCCGCACCGGAGGGAACGCCCCAGCCCTAGGGACGCCCGCACCGGAGGGAACGCCCCAGCCCTAGGGACGCCCGCACCGGAGGGAACGCCCCAGCCCTAGGGACGCCCGCACCGGAGGGAACGCCCCAGCCCTAGGGACGCCCGCACCGGAGGGAACGCCCCAGCCCTAGGGACGCCCGCACCGGAGGGAACGCCCCAGCCCTAGGGACGCCCGCACCGGAGGGAACGCCCCAGCCCTGAGTCTGAGCCCAGGTTCTCGGGCGGGTAACGGCAGTGGGCACAGTCCTGCTTGGGCTGGAGCCCAGTCGCTGCTGTCAGCCCCACCGCCCCGAACCCTTGCCCCCTCAGGGCACCGGAGCACAGGTGGGCTGAGCGGTGGGACAGGACAACGGCAGCGGCTGTTGACTGCACATTTGTGTTTTCAGCCCCGGCTCTGGCAAACTCGGCTCCTCTGGCTGCACCAGCAGCCCTGCCCCCAAAGCCTGTGGGGCTGCCCCCCCTTGCTGAGCTCAGCCCTGCTCTGAGGCCAGACGCGCCCAGGCGGGCTGCGAGCCCGGCGGAGGAGGAGTGCGAGGTGGACGTGGAGGAAGTTCTAGGCCC